CGAACCGTTAAATAGAGCGGTTAACGATTACGGTTACGATTACAATTTTGAGTAAACGGTTAACCTTTTAAGACAAAAAAAAATCTTTTTATTTACTCTTCTGGGAAAAAAAATATGCTGTATATAATTATGTAAGTTAACCCTAAAAGAATCTTTATTGATTTATATCCAACTAATTGGAACTTATTATTGTTTATATTTAATTATGTATTAGGGTTAGAACTATTGCAAGAGCAAAAAAATTATTGATTTAAAATTTAATTAAAGGTTAGCGGTTAACCGTTCCTTAACGATACGGTTACGGTTCGTGTTTTTTAGTAACCGGTCTAACGGTTAATCGTACCGTTAAGGATTAATGGTACAGTTAACCTAATGTGAATAACCCTAGTAATATTGTCAAAAATTACAACCTTTAAATAGAAACAAACATTGTATTTTGGTTTACCCAAAAAGGAAAACATGCTTTGTACTATGAGACGAAGGAAGTATTAAGTTAGGAATGTAAACCAAAATCATGCGTTGATCGATATAATAAATTTTTATTTTACTCCGTACTTTGAAATTTTCACTCTTATTCCTCTTATCTAACGCCCAGAGGGCACTCATTAGCTTTCGTCATTATATTATTATACACTCTCTCTGTTTCTCTAAATTGAAAGAGTATATGTTTTAATTATGCATAATATTCAATGCATGCAATCCAATTACGCTCAGTTTTTACAAATTTCCAATCTACCGTTCACATAAGACAAAAAATCAGTTATTTCTAACAATATTGTTAATATAAAACCACTAATTGAAGGTTCGTTTGGCATTGTTGTGGTTTTCTGTTTTTTTATTTTTTTGTTTTTCAAAATCATATGATATATGTCATATAATAAATCAAAAATTAGTCAAACTTCTTAAAATTATGATAATTTTGAAAACTGACAACTGAAAAGTGGAAACACCTTTTTCTTGTTTCTTGTTTTTTGTTTTAAAAAAAGAAAACTGAAAACAAAAAACGATGTGAAACAAGCCCTGAATTTGTAGTTTTACCTTGAAATTTACTATAAACAAAAATATATTTTTTAAGAAAAACTTTTAAAGGTAATGTACAAGGTAAAACCGCTAATTCAGACAAAACAACTTGTTCGATTAGTGGTTTTAATGTAAACTAGTAAAAAAAATATGGAAAATTTGATGGGAATAATCCCATCTATGAGTGTTCTGCTCAAAGAAATCTTTACTTTAGATTAACTAGGTATAATCCCTACTTTAAAAAAAATTCTCAAATGCTCCCTTTTTACAGGTTACCGGCCAAACATGTTAGAAATGCTTAAAATTTCCCCTTTTCCTTTTTTTTTTTCTAACCAATTTTCACACTCATCATCATCATAACCAACTCTCATCCATTTCTCGGCGCTATTTCACGTCTTCGCCACCTGAGTCATCATATATAGCCGCTTCTGTTCTTTAATTCTCTTTTTTTAAATAAATTTTCTTGAGTTGATTGGTTGTAGTTTTGGGTGGGTTGTGGCTGGGATGTTGGGGAGACGCCGAGAGTTCGATCAGGAGGAGGGCGAGGAGCGGAGGGGTCGCGATGGAGGGTGTGAAGAAGGGATTCAATGCATAGCCGCCGCTTGCGTCGACGGCATTCGGTCGCGACTTATGTGGTAGTTTTTGCGGTGTATCGACTGATTGGTTGTTGGTAGCTTATAATGTTATTATAATGCATGTGAACTGTGCAGCTTTAAGTGAAGTAATTTCCTTGTGAGAATCTTCCAAATTGCGAGCCAATATTTCAAAGGCTTTCAACAAAGAAGTTCTACTACAGGAATTTACTTTACCTCTAGCTGCTGAAAAATCAAGAGATTCACTAGTGGTTGATAAGTCTCTGGGGAACCAGGAGGTCAGATCTTCTTCACCATCACTAGGATAGTCAGGTTTAGAAGATCTTGCCTTTTCCAGTTCCACTTTACACTTGTCCAATTCAACTTCTAGCTCTGCCACTTGATTTTTCAGTTCATGGCAAACTTCTTCTAGGTGATCACAACTAGCAACAACAATTTCACATTCAACACGTTTTTCTTTAAGCTCTCTTTTGCCAGTTATGTAAGTTTCACCCAATTTATAGCATTCATCTAATAAAGAGTCAGTGCAAGCAAGCATATTATCTCTATCATATTCATGCATATCTTCTCCAACTTGTTCTAAGTTTACCTTGTGTTCATGTAGTACATCCTTCTTTGCCATCAAGCATTTTCTGAATGTATTGGTTCCCACTATGATCCCTGGATCAGTGCTGTTTCCCTTAATGTTTACAAAGGTGGTCAAGCAAACCTTAGAGTTAGGTGATTCTTCATCCTCATCAGACCCTGAGTCAGAATCACACCACTTGGATGTTATCATAGCATTCTTGAAGGCTCGTTTATCTCTAGATTGGGACTGTTTGTCCTTCCACCTAGGACAATCTCGAATAAGAGGTCCCTTATCTCTACACTTGAAGCAACCTGTAGAAGAGAAGTTAGACTTCTTAAAATTCTTACCTTTGAAGTTCTTCCTCTGGTCTTGAAGTGATCTCTCAAATCTTTTAGCAATCATGCCAATCTCATCTTCTTCCTCTTCTACTGTTCCCTTAAGAGCCACGCCTCTGGCTGGTTCTTTCTCAGACTTAGAGTCAATCAACATCTCATGAGTCATGAGGGAACCAATCAGCTGTTCCAGAGACAAAATGGACAAATCTTTTTCTTCATAAACTGCTGTTACTTTGGCTGTCCATGCATCTGTCAAGCTGCGCAAAACTTTTCTCACAAGATCCTCATCAGAAAAGTTCTTACCAAGAGATATAAGATCATTGATAATTGTCATAAATCTACGAAAACAATCATTAATCTTTTCATTTTTATTCATAGCAAACAACTCATACTTAGACATAAGTAAATCAATTTTTAACCTTTTTACCTCGCTGGTTCCCTCAAAAGCAAGTTCGAGGGTATCCCAAATCTCTTTTGCATTGCTGCAACCTGAGATCCAGTTTGTTTCATTCTCACCTATAGCCTGTTGTAGAATTGACATTGCTTTGGCATTCTTCTCCAGCAGTTTGTAATCAGCAGATACTAATTCACTGTCTTTCTTGGGAAGCCGGTTTCCCTCAGCATCTGTCTTGAGGATGATGTTGGGACCATTCTTGACAACTAGCCAACATTCATAATCAATCCCCATGATTACATTCTTGATCTTATTCTTCCACCAAGCATAGTTATTTCCGTTGAACTTTGGTGTCTTGTTGTCATAGCCCATAGCATTTAGATCTTGAGTACTCATGCTTGACTCCTCTAGATGTCACTCTTGTGAGAAGCCTAGGCTCTGATACCAATTGAAGGTTTTAGAGCACTCAAGAGGGGGGGTGAATTGAGTGTTAAGTAGCCTTGGCCTATTTTTCTTCTTTTTCGATCTATGAGAGGAACCAGTTGGGCTGGTTCCTGTAAGCAGCGGAATGTAAGAAAAGCAATAAAGAAAACACAAGATTTAACGAGGTTCAGCCAACTATGGCCTACGTCCTCCTACCCTATGCTCTTTTATTAATCTACTCCGAAAAATAAAGAACACAGACACCCTACTGTCTCCCTACTCCGGGAACCAGTATACCCCACACTCTACTCCGAATGTGCGCTCGACTTACACTAGTAAGCCCTTTGTGTTTGAACTCACAAACACTAACCCAGCCTTTCAACCCCTCTGTTGAAGGCTTTGACAAAATCAAATGCTCTCTTTTGATCTCACTTCTAAAAGCTAATTAAGAGAAAATGTTTAAGCTCTAAGAGTGCTCTTGTATATGACTCGATGAAGAGGCTTTTGTGCTTAAGTGTATATAGCTCTCAAAAATTACTCCTTTTTAATTCCAGAGAGACTTACCAAAATATGAGAGGCTAGATGAGTTTATATACTTGGATACAAAAACCCTATTTTCCTTAAATCACATAATCTTGATGAACAAGCAATAATGTGATTTTAGGAAAGTATTTATCTTATTTGATTTAATCATAAAGATAAAATCAATTAAGATAAATACTCCTAGTTTTTAGGTAACCACAATATTCTCATCTAATTTCCAGCTGCTTAGGATATTTTCAAAATGATTTTTGAAAAATATTTTTACAAAATCTTTTTCAAAACACGCAGCTCGGATATTCTGTACAGTGAACCTGGTTCCTCAACCTGGTTCCTTGAATTGAGTATGTTATGAATTATGTTCCAGCTTTGTACCAGAATTCATAATATAACTCAATACACTTATAAGCACTTATTTTACCCAAACATGCAAGTCATACTACGGAGCACATTACATGATAAAACTAGAATAAACATTAAAGTACAAATCTTCTTTTCTTCATGTAATCTTAAAGACTTGAATCTTCCTTGAATACTTCCATTATGAGCAATGTATCTTTCTTCAAATGTCTTCAAAAGGCCTCCATGCTCCAAGTCTTCAACTTAACTACTGCACATGTAACATGGTTAATGTACAATAAAGAGTATGTGACTGCTTTTTCAGCATAGCACTCGAGGAAACAGTTCCTACTGGTTTCCCACCAGTACATGGAACAATTTATATCCAACCATTTCCTGCATATAGACAAGTTAGTTAAATGAATAACACAAATAAGTAATAACTTGTCTAGAAAAACAGTGTTCAATTCCAGCTGGTTTCCAACCAACTATTTGCAATACTTATTGTAACCTGTTTCCTGTAACCGTTTTTCATCACTCAAAACCTAAGGGACTCAACAATATTTTTCTTGTTCAGAGAAGTTTTCAGGGTAATGCTTTTGCACCAAGTGGCATATTTTATCAACATCAAAAGACTTAAAAGAGTCTTTAGGATCCATTGTTGCACTTAATATAAGAAGATCAATCATTTGTTCATCAAACCTATTATTAATTTCTTGTAGTTGTGAATCTGAAGCTGCAATAAACAAATCAACTCGATAATGATGTTCCATTGTTATTTTTCCACCTTAATGAGAACGACCTTTAGCGGCTGTGTAAAGAGTAGTCATATCTGGAATATCAACATTATGCTTCTCACAAAAAGACTTAACCTTTTGATACAAATCATCCCAACCAGTCAATCTAAAATTTTGTATCAAGTCTTTTGTTGTGGAAACAAGACTCATAGCATTCACTATATATTGACCACGTCGTTGTAGAGCTTGGCATAAACTAGCGGTCATCCCTAAAAGTTCCCTCATCAAGTGAAAAATAAAAATGAACTCAAAGGACATTAATGTATCATAAACAACATCAACATTGGCACGTTGTTCAGAATTTCCTTCTTTAATAATGGATAGAAGAACAGTACCTATAGAAGCAAATGTCCTTAATATACTGTTGATTGAATTCAAATGAGATGTCCATTGATTATCAGTAGCAAGCTGCAAGTTCCCTATTTGATCAATCCTCTCCCAGTTTGAACTTCGTCATTAGCAATCTTGTTTGCTAACTCAGGTTTTTATGCAGCTTGTAACTTATCATGTCTTTTCGAAGATGCATCAACTATATTGACAATAATTGCCAATTTAGTGAAAAATTGTTGTATGGGAATCACTTCTTTTGTAGCGCCAACCAAAGCTAATTGAAGTCGATGAGCAAAACAATGAACATAGTATGCATAGGGTGAATCTTTCAATATTAAAGCTTTTAAACCATTAAATTCCCCTCTCATATTAGAAGCTCCATCATATCCTTGACCACGAATATTTTTTGGGTTCAAGTTATGATAAGACAAAACTTTATATAATTCTTGTTGCAAGGTTAATGATGAAGTGTTTTCCACATGAACAAGATCAAAAAATCGTTCTTTTAATATTCCATCATGATCAACAAACCTCAAAACAATTGCCATTTGTTCTCTTAGTTCCCTATCTTGGGATTCATCAAGGATGACACAAAATTTTGATTCTCCAGTTTCCGTTCTTATTTTATCTTGCACGTTTTTCGCTAAAATTTGCAAAATCTCTTTTTGAAATGTGGAAAACGTATATGAAGCATTCCCTAAAAACAATACTGTTAGTTAAGTAATGTATAAGAGCATTGAATAAAAATACAAATCCTCTAAAAAAATTAATAATGAGTACCTAGAGCATTTTGCAAAATGACTTTGTTCACATCTTTGTTGTACGAGGCTATAAAGTTTATAAGTTCAAGAAAGTTTCCTTGATTCTTAGAGTTTACACTCTCATCAAGGCCTTTAAATGAACAATTTTGCAATGCTAGCCAACGAAGAACTGCAACAATTGAAGTTTTTAAACGCAACATGTTATTCTTAATTTCTTCTTCAGTCTGCCCTAAAAGTGATGGTTCAATATGTTGCTTTGTATTCAACAAATCGTCACACGCCTTTTGATTCTTATTATGTTGGCTTCGGACCTTTTCCCATATGATTCAAAAAGGAACAACTCTTTCCACCATTCACTTTTTTCCACTTAGTAAACCGATCATGGGTAAAACATCCGGTTGCTTTATTTGTAAAAAGAAAGCATGGAAAACAGAATGCAACATCTTTTGATGGAGAATATTCTAACCAAGGAAATTGTTTAAACCACGTTAACTGAAATGAACGACGATGTTTTTCTGACCCATAATAGGGATAATCATCTTGAATGGGTTGAAACGTTTTTAGTCTAAGATACTCCCTTCTTATTTGCTCACGCTCATTGGGATGATAGTCACTAATTTGTTTACGTAGTCCGGGATCACGCTCAAGAGTACATGAGGTATGTTTATCGTATGCTTCAACTCTTGGAACCTTTTGGGGGTTATCAGTTTCGGGAATTGAAATAGTAGATCTCTTTTGCCCCTCAAAACTTGTGTTTTGCTCATTATCATCACTCAAATTACTTTCGGGATTCAAATTTGCCTTTGAAGTGGAACCTTCTTCTTGTTGATTATTAACTTTTTTGTAAAAAAATCTAGTGTTTTTGATTTCATGATTTAACCTATATCAATACAAAAACAACAATTCTCAAATTAAGTAGCATATAACCCTAAAATTTGATCCTAAAGGTCCATCCAATAAATTAAAAATCAGCCAAAATTATTAAATAAATAAACATATTCAAGTAAAAAATTAATTACGATCATGTAAATAGCACAAAGAAATCAATTAATTGAATGAAATTACATAATTTAAAAAAATTAATCAAAAAGAAGAATTTTAAAAAATACCTGATTTGGTTGATTTGCTACTTAACAATAGTAATTGATGGATTGAATCTCAAAATATGATTGCCGTCAAAACATATTAATTTCACTTTATTAAGTTAGTTGGAGATTTGGGCTTTATAATCAAAACACAAACCCACGTTGAATAAGTTTTAATTTAAAAAATATGAGAGTGGTGGGATTTGAACCCATCCCCTTTGGAAAATGGATCATTACCCAACTAACATGACAAGGTATATTTATTGTTATATGTGTGTCTTTAATTCTATATATAATAATTTTAAGGGGGGCCATAAGATAAAATACATGGGTCGCAAATCTGGGCCGGGGAGGCCGAGCCTCCATCAGCCCCCCCCCCCCCTCGGTGCCTTCGCCCTTGTGTGTGCCTGTGTGGCTGTGGTGTGTAGTGCAGTAGTGGTGAAGCAAATATCTAGAAGCTTTGATTAATAAAAGCATACTGTATAATATAATTATAATAAAACTTTAATTAATGAAATTAGAACCAATCATAATTAAACACTATCATACAGGTTACCATATGCTGCTAACAGGATATGGACTTTGAGCAGATTTAGTGCAAATTGGGATTATATCTAGTTAATCCAATATAGGGATTATTTTGAGCGGAATGCTTAAAGTTGGGATTATTTTGAGCGGAATGCTTAAAGTTGGGATTATTTTCATCAAATTTTCTAAAAAAAATTGATATTTGTAAATGCTATTATCGCTTTGCTACTCCTATATTATGCAAATTAGGGGTGTCTCTTCAATATTTCTTTTCTGCTTCTATTTTCTATCCCCCATCACTAATTTTCTCCTTTTTACTCTCCTTTTAATTACTACACAATAATCAACCAAAATGAAGAACAGACTTGGAATTGCAAGTGAATTAAATCGAGGACTTGAAAGAGTGCATGATGAGCTAAGTGTCATCGTTGTGGATCTCTATTAAAATTCAAGCATCCGCCTTTTTTATTTCATAGGAGTTACTTGTTATTGTTACTAAGGTTACTTGTTAGTTGTTACACAAGGGTACTCAATTATAAATTTGGTAAATAAGGGGCTACCTAATAAGGATACAAGGGCTACTATATCTTATATTTGGGGTAATTAAATTTGATGGGTTACCAAATATGTAGTGTGATACGAGGTTACCTAGCTAATAGGTGATATAAGGGTTACTCAATCTTATATGCATGATTATCAAATTTGATGAGTTACTAAATATGATTTATATAGGGTTACCTAAATATCTAATAATGGGTGTAAGGGTTATTCAAATATATTATTGGGCTAATAAGGGGTGTAAGGTCTCTTATGTTTGGGGTTACCAAATATGATTTATACGGGCTTATAGGGATTACTCAATCTACCTCAAATTAATATGATTTATACGCGAGTTGCCTAATTAATAAGGGGTATAAGGGGATACACAATCTTATATTTGGGTCGGCTGGTCGGGGTTACCAAACATGATCTATATGAGGGCAACATGTTCATGTTGTAAGAGTAACTTGTTTAAGTTACAGGGGCTACATAATTAATTGTTAGCAAATATGTTTTCCTTGATTTGGTTGTTTGTGCTCTTAATTTCCAGATACAGTATTGTAGACACCTGATTGTGTCTCCCCAAAAACCAAATCCAGTGATGAGTATCTTTCACGTCTTTGATTAACGAGTTCAGTAAAGAGTTAAAGAGTCTTGTAAAATCTCCTTAAGCCTTGACCATACCCCTAACCTTTCTTAAAATGTTTTAATCCAAAATCATTCATTTCGTGTCCGACTCATAAAAACGTCCAAACCATATTATTTTGGTCCATAATCCCAGTCAAATTATTGCTTAGTTAAATGGGGCTTGAAAAGAGCTTTCCAACGATATATTATAAGCCCAAATCCGACTTAAAACGAATAATTATGACCAAAATACCAATAGTTATTATGTGCACCATGGTGCACCTAGAAATAGGTGCACCACGACGATAATATGAGCATTTAGTAAAAAAAAAATCTGAACACTTTACAAAAATATGAACATTTTGTAAAAAAATATGAACATGTCACAAAAAATGATTAAAAATCAAATGTTCATATATATAAATTATAAAGTACAGAATGCCAAATTTTTTAAAATGATTAAAAATACATAGATCTAAAACAAACAAAAAAGTTCATAAGTAATGTATCACATGTTTAGAATTATAATTAAGATGTTCATAATTCCAAAAAATATATGTTGGTAAAAATAAATAATTATTGAAAACGTATCATACATTCATAACTTAAAATGTTCAAAATACCAAAACATAATCAAATATAGAACTGTTCATAACAAAATACACAAATATCACTAACAAAAAAATCACAACAATACGAAAGTTACATATTCTGATCCGAAACTCAAACCTAGCCATGACGATTTAGATAATGGAATCTCATTGAAAAATAATCATCTCCACCGTCTTAACCACGTTCTCCTCGTCGAAGCTGCCATTTTCAGCTTCAGTTTATGCAGAAACTCCATTAACAAAGTTTCAAATTGAAAGTTGAAGAAAACGAAATTTGAATTTAATATATGGTGAACAACAATGGTGATGAAGGAACTCAATCTATGGTGATCAACAATGCTGATGAATGATTTCAATAAAAAAAACAAAATGATGAACAAATTCAAGAGAGAGAAAAATAGAGGAGAGTGAAAATAGAAAGAAAAATAGAGGAGAGAGAAATCAGAAATTAGAAAAGTGTAAGAGGGGGAAAAGAGAAGAGAGAGAATATATTTTTACTTGATGTTTCACTTAGTTAAAAATTTGCGATTGTTCAAATATTTAAACTAAATGTTCAAATTATAGACGTGGTGCACCTTAAAATTTGCTCCAAAACACTAAACCGAGCTCAAACCGAGCCTAGGTCCACCTTAACTACAACCCAATGATCATATGAGGGTCAAAATATCTTATTCCTAATCCTAAATCAATTAGGATTCTTTAGGAACTTCTAGGAGTCTTTTGGAGGTTCTAATCTATCCTTTACAAAAAGATAAAGATCAAAAGAGTTCGAAGCCGAATAAAACTTCTCATATGATAGTCTTTATCCCGTTCAAATTAAAAGACGTCCGGATATATTTCACAAATCTAATTCTATTAGAAATTAAACTCCATACGACTTTATTATCTTCAAAAATCATCACAGAACGACAGAACCAACGCGACACGTCAGCTTCATCACGTCGCGATGGAGACAAGCGCGCCGCAATACAGCTGTCGCCCCGCGACAAAAAGAGTTATACTTCCATTCAAATTCTAATCGTCAGACTCTCTTTTTTCCATATAAATAGAGGTCATTTTCCCTGCTTTCAAATTAGCTAGAACCATCAATCATAAGCTATAACCACCTAGCTCCAATCATCATCAACAATCCTTATCAAACACCTATTATCAATCATCAAACACCTATGTTTGTAGTCTTAGCCTAAACACATCCTTGATACTCTTCCAAATCACTCACAATACCTCATTTACAAGATTCGAATACTCTAAGCTATCCTCAACGTTGCCTTCGACCTCAATGTGAAAAGTTGATAGTTCTGAGGGTCTGGTCCCAAATCTATATTTTAATTCATATTTGATTTATTTGCTTTATTAATTTAACTTTCTTGAAGTTACTAGCGTGTGTATTGTTTTAATAGCAAGAAGGTTGAGGCATCAAAGTAAGTAATTCGATTACTTAATTATTCTTTTGATTTTAGAGTAGAAATCATGTTTACAATGTAACTTTAATTCCTAGTATCATGTTTAGGATGTTATTTTAATTCCTAGTATCATTTTTAGGATGCTTATTATGATTTCTAGTATCATGTTTAGGATAACGCTTTGATTTTGATTATTAGTGACATGCTAGGGTTTGTTATTAATCCGTTTAGTATCATGCCTAGGATTATACTATTAACAATGTTTTGATGTTATGATTGCAATATTCTTATGATGATGATTGTTGTATTAATCATATGTTGCTTGATTATTTATGATTTATTGTTATTGCTTGATCACGCCCCTTTTTGCAGGTTTAAAGGGAATTTGTACTTGAAATCATGCCTA